ACACTTGTGTTGAGTGATAAAATAACTGCTATGAAAAATGAACTGTTGGCTACATGCCAGCTGGTTTAAAGCTAACGTAACAGTAGGGATGCTACTCACAGTGACGTGTACTATTTTTGAGACACTTAGTACTGTTTACTGTGAGTATTTTAAATTGTTTTCCTGCTTTGTTCTTCGACCCCACGCAATCCATAGGGCGCGGTAATATCATGTACCCGTTACCTCCACGGTACGTCCCTTGAATATCTGTAGGTTATCACCAGATTTGGATTAATTGATGTGAAATATATAATCAACCTCAAATAAGACTGGAGTCACTTAGTAAATTCAACAAGCTATCTGAGCATACAAAGTAATTCAAACTAAGCTGCACCTTTGGTAAACTCATAATGCAGCAATAATTATCATGAAAACATTTTACATTCCTGATTTGTCATTCTTTGCAATTTTCATCTTTGCAAATAATATATTTATATATAAATAGTTATCCACGCAATAAACTGTTATTTAATTTTGTCTTAATTTACTTATTTTATTTCATATTCTGTTCTTGTACATATCATATTCTGTATAATACTTTTTGCACTACTTTTTATTTTGTATTTTATCATATGTTGGATTGTTGGAGGAGCTCAGTTCATAATATTTCATTGCCATTTCTAGACTGTAGCTTTGTGCATATGACAATACAAACACCTTTGAATTAGAATATAATATATTATTCTTAAATGGGCCCCTAATCTGCATAATTGAGTACTTTTTACTTTTAGTACTTTAAGTATATTTTGATGCCGATACTGTTGGTACTCTTACTTGAGTAACATTTGGCAAACCAGGACTTTTACTTAACATAATATGTTCTTGTTAGTTTGACAAACCTAATTCATTATTTTGAGATCATGATATCATTATACTGCCAGAACGTTTGTCATTCATTTGAGATTATAAGGTCATTAACGGGCCCCAGATTTAATTTATAAATGTTATTTTCAGGGGCTGCTCCATAGTGTTATTAATCTGGAGAAATATTGTTTTAAGCTTTTAACGTTAATACCTGTTAAAACAGAAGAAAGAAAAAACAAAACAGTCACAGAGTATTTCCTGGATTCAGGGTACGTTTACTTTAAGTACAATATATGAGTACTCTATTCCACCTCCTGATTATTATCTCAGAAAAGTGTGAGCGCCGCGATCTTCCAAGATGTACTGGTCTGACGGTGATGACCATGGTGGCGGCCACCGTACACAGTGGCGCCTGCGGTAGCACCAGGACGCATCTCAACGGGCGATATGTACTACGCTACAACCGCAGTGTGCCTCGCCTGGAGGTCATTAAACTGGTAACTGGAGTCTGGGGGATGCCTGAACAAAGTAAGTGTCACATACTACACTTTTACAACAGGAGTGGTGATACTCTGAAAATGTGAAGAAAAAGTATTTTTACAATTCTCTTCTTAAGTAAAAAAAAAAAAGGGAACTATTATAAGCAACATCTCTCTCAAATAACCTCATCATGAAGGTAGATAGATGACAGGGAAACAACCACAGCAGTGGACGTGTATTTTGATATTTGTTAAAAGGTCACCTACTCCGATGTTGATTATGTGGCAATAGAATTCATTTTAGAGTCTCATATAAAAAAAGTCATTATTATAAAAAAACATGTCTATGAAGTGTTTTGCTCAAAATACCGATCATCACATTCTTAGCCATGCCGTCAGTTATCCCCTCTCATATGTTAGCTTCCTGTGTTTTCAAAAGGCTTGAACTTTGGGGTATAAAGCGACTTTAAAAAAGTAAATGTTATGACTAAAAAAGGAGGGTCTGAGCTCATGCGGGACCCGGGTCAGGCTTACGCGTCTAAACTAATACTGCCGTGATTCCGCGCCAGTATCATGGGATCTATCAAGAGGACTTATCTCTGAAAACAGTATGGAGTCTCATAAGGCTGTGCTCTGTCTTGGGAACTCGCGGGTTATACCACAAGGTGAGTCCTTTTCATTTCCTGCCTTCTTCACACCATGCTCTCCAGTACAGGTTAGCTCTGAGGGTTAGCCGATGCTAATGTGAAACACGATCGAAATGTTGACGTCCAAAAACCAGTCGGGGCATGTTTCTGATAAGCAACGCTTCTGTTTTGGACGTGGCATATGTCCGATATTTACATTAGCATCGCCTACACACTCATCGAGCAAACCTTGTACTGGAGAGCCATGTGTGTGAAGAAGCAGGAAATGAAAAGGAGGAGAACTCACCTTGTTGTATAACGCGCAAGACGAGAAAGCCTTTGAGCTCCATACTGTTTCAGAAAATAATCCTTGATAATCCATGATATGGCGTTTCATCACGGCAGTATTTAGTTTAGACGTTAGCTGCCGGGTCCCGCATGAGCTCAGCCCCCTCCTTTTTTATCAATTTTTACTTTTTTAAAGCTTTATACCCCAAATCAGCACTTTTGAAACAGGAAGCTAAATAGAGGGATATGAGGCATGGCTAGAATGGGTGATCGGTATTTTGAGCAAAACACTTCATAGACATGTTTTTTATATATTTTTTTATATATGAGACCTATGTTATTGCCTAAAAATAACATGATAGGTGACCTTTAACAAATATCAAAATACACGTGCACTGCTGTGTTGTACAACACCTTTCCCTGTCATCTATCTACCTTCATGATGAGTTATTGAGAGAGATGTTGTTTATAATTCCCTTTTTTTTTTTACTTAGAAGAGAATTGTAAAAATACTTTTTCTTCATTTTCAGAGTATCACCACTCCTGTTGTAAAATGTGTAGTATGTGACACTTACTTTGTCAGCATCCCCAGACTCAGTACCAGTTTAATGACCTCAGCGAGGCACACTGCGGTTGTAGCGTAGTACATATCGCCCGTTGAGATGGTCCTGGTGTACCGCAGGGCCACTGTGTACGTGGCCGCCACCATGGTCATCACCGTCAGACAGTACATCTTGAAGATCGCGCTCACATTTTCTGAGGATAACAATCAGAGGTGGAATAAGTACTCATATATTGTACTTAAGTAAACGTACCTGAATCCAGGAATACTCTGTGACTGTTTGTTTTTTCTTCTGTGTTAAACAGGTATTAAGTTAAAGTTAAAACAATATTTCTCCAGATAATAACTATGGAAGCCCCTGAAAATAACATTTATAAATTAAATCTGGGCCGTTATGACCTTATATCTCAAATGAATGACAAACGTTCTGAGTATAATGATATCATATCTCAAAATAATGAATTAGTTTGTCAAACTAACAAGAACATATTATGTTAAGTAAAAGTCCTGGTTTTGCAAATGTTACTCAAGTAAAGTACAACAGTATCGGCATCAAAATATACTTAAAGTACTAAAAGTAAAAGTACTCATTATGCAGATTAGCCCATTTAAGAATAATATATTATATTCTAATTCAAAGGTTTTATTGTCATATGCACAAAGCTACAGTGTAGAAATGGCAATGAAAATATTATGAACTGAGCTCCTCCAACAATCCAACATATGATAAAATACAAAATAAAAAGTAGTGCAAAAAGTATTTATACAGAATATGATATGTACAAGAACAGAATATGAAATAAAATAATGTAAATTAAGACAAAATTAAATACAGTTTATTGCGTGGATAACTATTTATATAAATATACTTATTTGCAAGATGAAAATTGCAAGATGACAAACAGGAATGTAAAATGTTTTCATGATAATTATTGCTGCATTAATGAGTTTACCAAAGGTGCAGCTAGTTTGAATTACTTTGTATGCTTCAAGATAGCTTGTGAATTTACTAAAGTGACTCCAGTCTTATTTGAGTGTTGATTATATATTTCACATCATTAATCCAAATCTGTGAAGTAACTACAGATATTAAGTGATTGTAGTGGAGTAAGGGTACATGATTTACCTATGGATTGTGGGGTAGAAGAACAAAGCAGGAAACAATTTAAATACTCAAGTAAAGTACTAGTGTCTCAAAAATAGTACAGTACTTGAGTACATCTACTTAGTTACTTTAAACCACTGCATGTAGCCAACAGTCATTTTCATACAGTTATTTATCACTCAACACAAGTGTTAGCAAAAACCGAATCACACTATAAGTGACAAGTATTCCCCGGCTAGCAGAGTTTCACTTCTTTGTTTATGTTTATACTCAATTTAGAGGACAAACGTTCCTGTTAACAGCTAGCATTAGCCTATCATGCTAGCTTGTATTATGAACCGTTTCAACTCACCGACAGCCATCGCTGCGCTGTTTGGTGTCAGTCCGGGAGGTTAGCAACTCGAGTTCCCGACTGACTTCACATGCCATCAAAAGTTATAAAGGTATCCTGAATGGATTGAGGAATCCTGCCCGACGAGCTACACATCATTAGATAATGAGTAGTTCAGTTTTTCCTGTTTGACGAAATATAGCCTTCATTTCCCAGAATGCTTAGCGAAGGACGAACAGAGGGTGCGTTTGTTTTTGTGTCGCGGTTTTACTTTTTTTTTAATTTCAAACATTTTATAAATTAACTATAAAGAAATAAATATGAATAAATTAGTGATTAATACAAAAGGTAACATTTCAACTAAATTATTGATTTATTGACAGCATTTTTTTTAAATGGTGCCATATTGTTGTAATGCATTTCTTCTTGTGAATGTTCAATTTTCCAAAAAGAGAAAATAGTTGTATAAGAAAACATATATATTTGTATCAAATCCATCATCTTCAAAGTTTATAAAAATGTCCTCATCCTGAAGTTTGTCCCTGTGTCGCAGAATGTTCATTACTTTATATAATAGTGCTGGATATTTTAACCTATCATTATTGGTTTATTCATATTTTGTATTAGCTAATAACCTGTATCAGTAAAGTAACTAGTAATTATTATTGTTAAAAAAGGTAGTGGAGTAAAAAGTTATTGCTATTGACATTGAAGCAGTTGGACTATAATTTAAAAAAAAAATATCCAGGTTATTTGACCCAAATTACTCTAGAGCTAACAGCACATTATAAGATCTTAAATTGCTCAAACATGCATTTAAATCACTACCCATACATAAAATAAATCCCCAAAATAACATTTTACAGTAGTAATACTCACACGTAAGAAAACACAGATTCAATGAATACCTGTTTGGGTGTTTTATTTATTTTTGACAAAAAAACAAAACATGTTCTTTAGTTTCATTCAAGTAACTTGACAATTTCCACAAATCTATATTTTGAATAACAGCACAAGGAATTGAAAAATAATCTCTAAATCAGGTTTGCAGAAAGAGAAATAAATTATCTTTCACTGGATTTATCTGAACTCTTTATAGGTCAAACCTGGATAACAACAATATCATACAATCAAGAAGATGATTGATGTTCTTAGGGGATAATCTGATACAGCTAATATTAAAGAAAACAAACTTAATACTTTAAATAACTAATATCTGGCATTATTTATAACTGGTCAGGAAATGAACTAAGACTAAATCTTATGTTGAGAATTGACCAATTCCTTTAATGGCTATTCAAACCTCCACAAAACAATCTGTCCATCTGTCTGGACTTCTTGCAGGGCAGCAGGAGCGAATCCTCTCTCTCTGAAAGCACCACAACACCTTTTTTGAACATCACAGCCAGCTGGTAACACATTGAAACGGCAGGTGATTTTAAATGAGAATCAATGGTATTACCCATCAGAGAAGAGATTCTTAGATGTTATAAATGACGGGAAAACATCCACCACTTCTTGTTTGTACTCTCACAAAGACCACAGCTTGTGATATTATTTTCGGTGTAGCTCTACCACAAATGGCACACGGTCCATGCACTGCTGCTGGAGGCAAAGCTTTAAATGGAGCATTGTAACTGCGACAAAGGTGAACTCAACAGTTATCAGAGGGAACATGCTCGAAGCCCTCGCTCTCCCTCACCAGCGCCCTCTCCAGGATGATACGGCCCTCCTTGTAGCGCTGGCTTTCCTCAGTGGCATATTCATACATCCAGCCCAGCTTGCTGTTGCAGTTCTTGCAGCTGACGTCCCGCACCATGTGTCTTCCTGTCAGCATGACTCTGTCCTGTACCTCGCTGTGCTGCAGATTCACAACCTGGAGGGCAGCAGACAAACATATGTTAAAGGTCCCCTATTATACTGTTTTTCATCAATATATAATAGGTCTCAGATATATACAAAACATGTCTCTGAAGTGTTTGGCTCCAAACACCAAACAGATCGTTGCAGCATCCCATAATCCCCTCTGTTTCAGCCCTGTTTCAAAAGTGCTGATTCTCTGGCCCTGTCTCAGGTCGACTATTTTCATTTCCTCGCTCCTCGGTCCTACCGGAAGTTGATTTGTCTGCGCCATCTTGAGTACCGTCTCATGGCTCTTATTTCTGCCGGAGGACCGAGGATCGATAATGGAGGAGCGATAATCGAGGAACCACCAGTCCATCCTCCGATGAAATCCTCAGATACTCGCCCCGCCCCCTTACTGTGTATCGCTCACTGATTGGACGATGCAGTGCATGCACTGATCTCATGCTTCTTGTTCTTGACATGAGAGCAGTACCCCAGCGGAGTGAAGAAAATAAATGAAACTCACGAGAGTCACTCCTCAGTTTAAACTGTGTTTTGTTTCAATTCATGTATCATTTAGTTACAAATATGTGATATATCTGAACAACAANTGGTATTTTGAGCAAAACACATCATAGACATGTTTTTTATATATTTGTATTAATGCTGTCAAAATGATCGCGTTAACGGCGGTAATACATTTTTGGAATTAATTGCGTTAAAATATTTAACGCATTTAACGCATGCGCAGAATGGCCCGCACCATACATCCCACCAGTGGCAGCGCCAGGGTATGGCTGGGCTACAGCCATACCAAGAAATGGCTTAGTTAGCCCCACCATGAAAAATGATGTTAAAGTAAGCAAAATAAAGTCCGCCAACTCTCGCGGAGTAAATTGCACAGATAGCAGTTAGTAAGATTGATTTCAGTAGCCACTTGTCTGGAAATACCGGAGACTAGAAACGGTTTTGAAAACTTTTGTCACGTAGTGATCGTCTTCTCAATAGAACATCTTTGATAATGTCTTCTGGCCAATCAGAATCAAGATAACGGCGTGGTGTTGTTGCAGGAAGTCCCGACGGAGAATACTTTGCTGTAGTACATCTCTATACATCGATACAACATTACGTGTTGATAGAAATCAACACGTAATGAAATAAGACCCCACGGTTTGATGATTGATAGGTGTTTGGGCTGTCTTTCATTTTGACACACAGAACAATGTTATAATAAACATACATACATACATACATACATACATACATACATATACATACTGTATGGATACATCCACCTTCTTTCATTTATCTTTCCATTCCCACAACAATACACATAAAGAAATGACATATTTTGGACATATTTCAAATGGTGATTAATCATGATTAATTCATTTTTAAGGTATGATTAATCTGATTAAAAATGTTAATCGTTTGACAGCCCTA